GACTACCAAATAATGTACTTTTTCAAGGAACATCTAGGAAGCTTCAGCTTCAGTATCTGGCCTTCCGGGGAACAGTTAGGGTTGATTTCTTTTAGGATTGACTGATTTGATCTCCTTGCAGTCCAAGGAGTCTTCTCCAGCACCAACAGCTAAATGTACTTTGTAATTTGATTTTCTTTGTATCATTTTGTCACCTTGTATTTACTGCAATGAAACACAGACTGTTTTCTGAGGCTGTTTCTCCTGAACATAGGATAGTATGCATGTGTACAGCGGGGAGGAGAGGCAGCCTCTTGATGAATGATGGTAATAATAATGCATCCTATCCTACATATCTGGAACCAATGTTGAGAGAATGTTCTGAAGACATATGATGCAGTGTTCCATCACCAGAGCTATGAGAATCTACTCCAGTACTTGTAGAGGACACTATTTCAGAGCCCCATGTATGAGGCTCTGATCTTCATGGGTGGAGGTGGAACACAGTCATAAGTAATTCACACATTAAAAAACTAGCTATATTAATGCAAAAAGTTAGTGATGGCTGTCTCCATAAACATGTGAAAGGATCTGAGAGTTTGGCATATCTGTTCAATGATCTCAGACCTGCCAAAAAGAAGAAACCATATAAGTTTTATTTCAGAAGTATCAGGAAATGCAAGATTTGAGTAGTGTTCTGAGATACTGAGTATCGTTCTGACTTTTTGTCATGTGTGTAAAACATTTTTGTTCACAATCTGTTTTTTGAACAAAAGATTTAAGGTATGTTCATTTTATAGGAGATTTATACAAGAAAGACCATAGCAATAGAAGATTAGCTCGTTCCATTGGTTAGTTATTAGTAATAAGTGACTTCAAGATGACAAGTTCAAAGTATGGTACGCTGCAGATGTGCCTCAAGACTAAGGATGTTGCCCTGACCTAGATAGCCCAGGTAAGCCCGATCTCGTTAGGTCTTGGAAGCTAAGCAGGGTCGACTCTGGCAAGCAATGCTCCCTCTAAGCTGTGAAGTCTTGTGATCAAAAATTCTACTTTGTGAGCTACTGGCATTAAAGTTGTGAGCAAGCAATTTGGCTGCTGCATAAATTAGTTTGCTCTGGAGCCATCCTTCCTGAGCGAAGACAAAAATGTGTGAGCTGGAAGCTAAAAAATTGTGAGCTAGCTCATACTAACTCAGCTTAGAGGGAACACTGGCTGGCAAGTACTTGGTGTCATGGGCATTGGCGACGGCGTCGGGCACCTTCCCGAGTTGGCAATGCAGCCAGAGTCGACAGCATCACCAGAGCTGGAAGCTGGCCCCTCTTACTCTTTGGGAGTTGACAGCTTGCTGCCACCAGTGCCTGAGTCATTAACCCCTGCATCTGGTCCTGCAGCAGCCAATGAGGCACAGGTGCAAACGGAAAGCCCGCCAGATTCACCTCCACAGGTGGCTCAGCTGAGGGATTGGCTCCACAAGGACTTAGCAACCTGCTGCCGAGACGCATGCTGGCAGGGAAGGCAAGCACCGAGCACTGAGTACTAACAGGAGCAGCACTGCTGCTCAGGGAAGCACAGCCGGAGGCCTATATAGCTCCCTCTTGGGAATGGGCTCTCTGTGGAAACAATGAGTCACATCCATGCTGACCTTGCATCCACCCTCGGCTCCTGCTCTCAGACCTTGCTCCTGTTTGGATTTCTGGCTTCCTGACCTGCTTTGAACGACCACTCTCTTGGACTTGCAACTTGGCTCCTGTTCTGTCTCTCCTGGTTACGACCCCTGGACTCGATTTGACTCCTGCCTCTCAGCCCAGCCCAGCCCAGCACACTAGGATGGGAGACCTCCTTGGAATACCAGCAGTCGGGAGGTGGGGGCAGGCTTTATTCAGCCACCCCTCTGAATATCCTCCAGGCCCCCAATAGGGGTCAGTCACCAGAGGTTGCCATGACTTCCAGGTGCACATGTACAGTCACACACACATTAAAAAAAAGACTAAGGAATTGTTCATTCTAGATACTTCTCTATTTAATCGGCACGAAATAAAAGGGGATATAGAAAAACATGCATGGATTGAGAAGATCCTGAACAAACAGCAGTCAGGTAATGCTTCAAAAACATTAATAGATGTAAGTAAGACTTCCAGTGGTCCTGGAACAGGATTTCTTAATCTGCTAAGAACACTTATTTTTCTTGCCCCAATTATGAATTATATCACAATGCTTTTCTGTTATCACTTCTTGAACAGAAAACTGAAAATTCTGCTGACATTTTAACTGCATAGTATATAATAACAATAGTAATCATATGCCACCAAGTCACAACAGAGTCATGGTGACCATCATAACCATGAGGTTTTCATGGCAAGAGATGAACAGAGGTAGTTTGCCATTGCCTTCTTCTGCATAGCAACTCCAGTCTTCCTTGGTGATCTCTAGGGGTTTTTTGGGGCCAGAGCGCTGCTTCGGCAGCCCAGGACCCAGCGCAAATGGTGGCACGGCAAGCCCCACCCCCAGTTCCCTGCGCCGAAGCACTGGGGCAAGGGGCAGGCCCAGAGAGCCCCGCAGCCAGGTCCCCCGAGCCCACGCAGAAGTGCTGGGGCCAGGGGAAGCCCAGAGAGCGCTGGGGCCGGGGGAAGCTCGGAGAACCCCGCAGCTGGGTCCCCTGGGCCCACACATAAGTGCTGGGGCCGGGGGGAGGCCCGGAGAGCCTCAAGGAGAAAGGAAGTTGGGAATTGTGGGTACATTTGAAGCCATTGAATGCACAATTAACAGAAAGCTTGCAAGTGAAACTTGGAGACATCAGTAAATCTGGGTCCATTGATATTCCTGATGGTTCTAAGTCCACTCCTCAGATCTTGCAGTAACAGTCTCTGCTTTGATGATTTATAGGACCTCCACTGCTTTAAGCAGTCCATGGTAATTTATTATATGCACTAGTACTTTACTGTCTTGTGCTGCAGAAAATAAATATGTCTGAAGCACTGTCATGCTAGAGGCTGTTTGTAACGTGAACATCTCTATTTGATCTTTTTTTGCTTGTGGATAGTAAAGGATAGTGTATGATATAATTCTTTGGGGGCCACATTTTGTTTGTATTGATTCTGCAGCCCTGCACTGAAAAGAAAGACCATTCAAGCCCATATATTCACTGGGATTAAAAATAACAAGCAATACTTAGAACCATTTATTTCTAACAAGCCTTTATGATATCTTATCGTTGCAGCTGTTAGTCTAGTTCTATGCACAGTATTGATTTGATTTTCCAGATGATTCTTCCTTCTGTGTCATATTATAAATAATGTATTGATGACTCACTGATGTATGATGCCAGGATGCATTTAAAGATATATTTAGATTACAGAGGGTTTACCCCACACACAGCATTAATGCAGCAGCTTATAAGTACACCAGCTAAAGAGTATTGCAGGAAATGACAGTCTTGTGGGCCTATTTCTCCGATATTATATGAAAACATTGTAGCCCTGGGCCATTTGGGGCAAGGGCTTACGTATACATGATAAGGTGATCATAGCTGCAAACCAAAGGTGGCCCACACACTGGTGGCTAGGAATTGCTGGATTCAGACACCTGTGAAATGGTATCTTAATTGCCCAATGATGAATAGGAATGAAAACCAAAGTTCAACTAAGCATGAGTCATCGCAGCTTAATCGCTATAGGCAGAGCTTTTATATCACCTTAGTTCATTTCTAACACAAGATTTCTTCAACTAGTTCATACAGTTCACTGAGAATCATTAAATGCCAGGTCATACATGCATATGTATTGACAGATGACTGTCAGCTGAATGTGTCATGGACTATAGGACTATGATGACCATTGGCAAGTGGCTTTATATTTTATAAATTTATGTTAACCTATAATGGAAAACTCTGTAACACAGGTGTTTCAGCTTGAGTGACTGCATATATAGGAGATGTTATTTTAGTGTATTGCATTGTTGCCTGTTGTGTGTATCACCCTCTTTTTTATTATAGTTCAGTGTTTTCTGCCTTTGTCATCCTTCGTTCGGTGTGACATTTTCTGGTTTCTGGTTTCCTCAGAATTTCTTACCCCACACTGACTGTTTCATTGCCTTGGTTAGTTTCTCATTGCCTGCTTGTAAGGCTTTCTAATTTTTAACCCTACCTCTGTTTCATTTTTAAATTAGAGATGTAAAACAAAATAAAATAAAGAAATCTGAGATGAAGACAATTTTAAAAGGTGTTTGAATTGGGCTGGCTGCATCATCTTCTGGGGTTTTTGGGGTTTTTTAAAAAAAGTGGTACCTATTTTTATGCTGTTAAATAACTGTGAGCCAAGAAATTCAGTCCTCTGAAGACTAGCACTTCATTAAAAGTTTAACAATGCCTAGCTGGTTCTTACTCACTAAACTCCTTTTTATGTTTTATGATCTCATTCATATTGTTTCCAGGGGAAAATCAATGGTCATTATTTACTACTCAGCACATAAATATCATTCTTTAATGCTGTGTGTGTTAAGTGCTGGCAAGTTGCTTCTGACTTATGATGACCTTGTCAGTTAATGACCTCCCAAACATCCAACTGTTAACAGCCTTGCTTAGGTTGTGCAAACTGAAGGCTGTGGTTCTATTTCATGTTGGGTCTTCCTCTTTTCCTGCTACCTTCAACTTTTCCAAGCATTATTGTTTTTTTCATTGCCTATTGTCTTCACATAATGGACCCAAAGTACGATAACCTTAGTCATTTTAGCTTCTAGGCTTGATTTGATCTAGAACACATTTATGTGGTTCCTTCCTCCAATTTTCACACCATGTTCATTTAAATCTAATCCAGTTTTCCTTATGATGAATTCTGCATACAGAATGGATAGAGAGATAAAATACATTCTGGTCTTTAATATTACATTGGTTGTTTCACCCATTCTTGCATGATTATATTTTAAACTGTTCCTGAGAGCTCTTTGATGGTGCATGCGTGGCATGTCCTTTATGCCTGATGCGAAGGTGACCACAGCCTGTGGGAGAAGTTGTTGCCGCTGCCATGTTGTCCGTGGCCACGCGCTCCGACCCCTTCGCTTCTTCCTTGTGTGTGGGCCACCTTGTCGGCCGCGGTGCTGGTGCTAGGGCTGCCTTCGGTGGCCACCAAGCTGCTGGCGCTGGATCTGAAGCAGCCTCTGCTGTGCCGGGAGTCGCTGAGTGGGCAGGCCACCTGGGGAGGCCTTGTTGCCTCTGCGGTGTAGTGGTTAAGCCAGTTTGGTGTAGTGGTTAAGTGCGCAGACTCTAATCTGGGAGAGCCGGGTTTGATTCCCCACTCCTCCACTTGCACCTTGGGTCAGTCATAAGCTCTGGCACAGCTGTCCTTGAAAAAAGAGCAGTTTGTGTCAGAGATCTCTCAGCCCCACCCACCTCACAGGGTGTCTGTTGTGGGGAGGGGAAGGGAAAGGAGTTTGTAAGCCACTCTGAGACTCCAAGTGAAGGGCGGGGTATAAATCCAATCTCTTCTCTTCTCTTCTGCCAGCCTCAACGCTCCTGCGAGCATTCGTTACATCCACAATGATGTCATGGTGCTCGACTTCTCTGACTACCGTCGCCCTGAGGTCTTAGATAGCAGAAAGTCTTCCCAAGACAGCAGCGAAACCAGGAAAGTGTTCTCCTACTTTCTCACAGTGACAACCTGCGTGGCCTCTGCATACATCACTAAGAATGTGATCACCCAGTTCGTCTTCAGCATGAGCACTTCCGCCGATATGCTGGCCATGTCCAAGATTGAGATCAAGCTGGGTGATATTCCAGAGGGCAAGAACACGGCTTTCAAATGGCGAGGGAAGCCTCTGTTTGTGCAGCACAGAACACAAAAAGAGATAGCTCAAGAAGCCCCAACTCTCTTTGGCTGACTTACGAGATCCGCAGCATGATTTAGACAGAGTAAAGAAGCCTGAATGGATTATCCTGATAGGGGTGTGCACCCATCTCGGTTGTGTGCCCATTGCAAATGCTGGAGATTTTGGTGGCTATTACTGCCCTTGCCACGGGTCCCATTACGATGCCTCTGGCAAGATCCGGAAAGGCCCAGCTCCACTAAACCTCGAGGTCCCCTACTATGAATTTCCTTCTGATGACTTAGTTATTGTGGGTTGGATAAACATATGGAGCAGAGGTCCATCAGTGGCTATTAGACACAAGGTATAGATAGGAACTCTCAGTCTGGGGCAAGTGATGCTCTGTATTCTTGGTGGTTGGGGGGGGGGCAACAGTGGGAGGGCTTCTAGTGTCCTGGCCCCACTGCTGGACCTTCTGATGGCCCTTGGTATTTTTGGCCACTGTGTGACAGAGTGTTGGACTAGATGGGCCATTGGCCTGATCCAGCATTGGCTTTTCTTATGTTCTTATCTTTCTGGTGTTTCTATAGCCATGCTGTTTTTACCACTGATTCACATATCAAGCAGTTTGTTTTTGCAGTGTAGTGTATGGAGCAATGCTGTCTTTCAATAAATGGTTTAATTGGGGTCAGTAACACTTTGGCGTCTGTGTCTTCCTACTGGCAGCATCACCTACTGGGGTGATACGAACCCGTCTCATTTTGCAGAGGCCTTCTGCGTAAAGATAGCTAATTAACAGGCTGCCGGCTGGGGGGAGAGTCACATTTTTATATTCCTCCCAGGCAAGGTAGTCTGACAGCCAAATTAGGTGTTATGTAGTCACTGTGAATTGTTCATAAATCTGCCCTGTATATAAAGTGGGTAGGTGGCGAGATGCCTACCATCCAAAGAGGTGAGCAGGTGAAGGGAATAGAAACCTCTCATGAGCCTCCTAAACCTTATTTTACAACATCAGTCTCCTTGGGTTCTTTTCTTTAAGTCCAGTTCATTTCAGAAATTGGAGTAAGATTGGGGCAAAATCATTTTGAGTGCGAGGCCACAGAGCGGAAAGGAGGAGTGGTCAGTTACTTCCCCCAACATCTGCCTTTTGATGGTAAAATTAGATGCTCACCATTGTTTTTATGTAATTAGAGCAGATACATGAGCAACAAATATGGCGGCTGGTTTACATTGTGAGTTAGTTAGGCCCTGATCTCAGTACTTTAACCCAGCCATATATTGTCTATTCTGATAGGC